TCGAGAAGTCCCTCCTAGCAGCAGAGAAGAGCATAGTAGCTGTAGGAGCCTCTCGTGGTGACCCTCGCACCCCCATCTTTGAGGGGTGTTCCCCCTCCCCCCTTTTGCCCTCTGTTGCCTCTGCTGCTGCGGCCGACCTCGTTGGGCTTGAGTCGGTCGGTGCGGCGTCTACCCCTAGCGGGAGACACCGCCCTGGCAAGGGCAAGGGGGGCAGGGGCACTGGAGGAGCTAGCGGGGGCGGTGGAGGCGGCGGTGGAGGCGGTGGAGGGGGTGGGGGTGGCGGTGGGGGTGGTGGCGGGGGTGGAGGTGTCGGTGGTGGCAGTGGAGGCGGAGGCGGCGGCGGCGGGGGCGGTGGGAGCGGAGGTGGCGGCGGTGGAGGAGGAGGCGGCGGAGGAGGTGGAGCTGGTCGGGGTGGCGCTGCGCAGAGAGTCGGCTCCGGTGGTGGTCAGCGCCAGCAGCAGCAGCAGCAGCAGCAGCAGCAGCAGCGCACTCGTGACATCCCCTCCCCTCAGCAGCTCCGTGAGTGGTACGCTGCACGCCAGAGGGGTGGGGGTACTGGTCCGTGCACCTACGTCCTCCGCACCGGCGACCGCGCGGGTGAGCAGTGCGGGGGTGCGCACTCCACCCAGCGCTGCTTTGGCCGCCTGACGGACGCTTGGCGTCACCAGTTCCCTTAGGCCACTGAGATCCCCCGCTGGGGTGAGCTGTCTAGGGTGGGTGTGGCTGTCTTTGACCTTGACTTTGATGCTATTCTTGCTGCCATGTATACTGTGACTATTAGTGATGAGGGTGACTGTTACCGGTGTTTTCCGCCCGACCCGGGCATTGAGACTGCTGCTCTAGGTACTGGTGAGGCTGCTGCTCTAGGTGCTAGCGAGGCTGCTGCTCTAGGTGCGTCTGCTCCCTCAGGTGCTGGTGAGTCTGCTCTCTCAGGTTCTGCGTCGGCCTCGGCCTCCCACACCTTCACCCTTGACTCGGGGGCTTCTCGCTCCTTCTTTCGAGACCGCACCACACTCACGCCGCTTGGCCGGCCAGTTGCGGTCTCTCTGGCAGACCCCTCTGGGGGTCCTGTCCTTGCTCACTTCTCCACTGTCCTCCCGTGTCCGGCGGCCCCCTCTGGCACCCTGTCTGGTCTTTACCTCCCCTCGTTCTCTACGAACTTGGTGAGTGGTGCTGACCTACAGGATGCGGGGGTTCACCAGTTCACTCCTGGGAGTCAGCGGGTGACCCACTGCACGGACGCTCGGACTGGCCGACACCTGGCCACGTTTACCCGTCGGCCGGGGTCGAGCCTGTACACCCTGACCACTGCGTCTCCTCCAGTCACTGCGTCTGGTCAGGTAGCTGCGTCAGGTCAGGTGTTTGCTGCAGCGTCCAGGTCTGGTCCTGAGTCTGCCCCCTGTTCGTGTCACCTCCTGTCTCACGAGACTCTCCTCTGGCACCACCGCCTTGGTCACCCCTCCCTGCTTCGTCTCCGAGGCATGGCCTCCCGTGTCCTTGTCTCTGGTCTTCCCCGGTCCCTCCCTCCCCTTCCTCCGGGGCCTGGCCCTACCTGCGTCCCCTGTGTCGAGGGGCGGCAGCGGGCTGCCCCTCACTCCTCCCAGTTTCCTCCGACAGAGGCCCCGCTGCAGACGCTTCACATGGACGTGTGGGGCCCGGCCCGCGTCCGTGGACAGGGTCACGAGCGCTACTTCCTGCTGGTGGTTGACGACTACTCGCGTTACACCACAGTCTTCCCCTTGCGCAGCAAGGGTGATGTCACTGAGGTGTTGATCGACTGGATCCGCGCAGCTCGTCTCCAGCTCAGGCAGAGCTTCGGTTCGGACTTTCCTGTTCTGCGTCTGCACTTTGACAGAGGTGGAGAGTTCTCCTCTGGCCTTCTGCGAGCCTACTGTCAAGCACGAGGCATCCGCCAGACCTTCACGCTTCCGGACTCTCCACAGCAAAATGGGATTGCTGAGCGCCGCATTGGCATGGTCATGGACGTCGCCCGTACGTCCATGATGCATGCGGCTGCCCCCCATTTTCTGTGGCCGTTTGCGGTTCGGTACGCGGCGCATCAGATCAACCTTTACCCTAGGGTCTCCAGACCGGAGACCTCCCCTGCTTTGCTGTGGACGGGGAAGGTTGGCGATGCGTCTGCGTTCCGTGTCTGGGGATCTCGGGCGTTTGTCCGCGACTTGTCTGCGGACAAGCTGTCCCCTCGTGCTGCTCCTTGCGTCTTCCTTGGCTTCCCCCCTGACGCGCCAGGGTGGCAGTTCTACCACCCCACCTCTCGCCGTGTTCTGTCCTCCCAGGACGTCACGTTTGACGAGTCGGTCCCCCTACTACCGCCTCTTCCCCTACCGCACTCCGTCCCTCCCCCCACCACCGCTCTTCCTTGTGCCAGGTCCCCCCCCGGTAGACCCCCTCCCCCCTCAGGGTCCTGCCCCTTCAGGTGTGTCCCAGGTAGACGCAGTCGAGCCTGTCAAGGTTACTGGTGACTCTGGTGCTGCTGAGGGTGCTGAGCCTGGGGGTGCTGACTCTGGGGTGTGCTGAGCGTGTGGGTGCTACACCTGGGGGTGCTGAGCCTGAGGGTGCTACTACTGGGGGTGCTGAGCCTGGGGGTGCTGAGGCCTGGAGGTGCTACTACTGGAGGTGCTGAGCCTGGGGGTGCTGAGCCTGGGGGTGCTGAGCCTGGGGGTGCTACGCCTGGAGGTGCTGGGCCTGGGGGTGTGGAGCCTGAGGGAGCTGGGCCTGCTTGTGTGGCGTCTGGCGGTGCTGAGCCTGGAGGTTCTCCGGGTGCTTCGTCTCGGCGGGAGCCACTCTCTCCACAGGAGCTGCGCGAGTGGTTTGCCCGGCGCTGGAGGCGTGCTGCTGGAGAGCTGGAGGTTCTTTGGCTACTGAGGGTGCTGGTGCCGCGGGTCCCGGAGGTGCTCGTACTGGGAGTACTGGAGCTGCTGGGCCTGCGGGTACGACTGGAGCTGGAGCTGCTAAGGGTGTTGACGCTGAGGCTACTGCTGTCGGTCCTGGAGGCGGGCCTGCTGGGGGTGCTACTGGTGCTGCTGGAGGTACTGGAGCTGGAGTTGCTGCTGACGCTGGTGCTGCCGCTTGGGGTACTGGTGCTGTCCCTGCTGTGTCTGGAGTCGCCGCGCGGCCTCGGCCGTACTTCGTTCCGCTCCTTCAGCAGGTTCTTGGTCTCCCGCCTTCTACTGGCCCTCCTCCTCCCTTAGAGAGTCCACAGCCTGTCCTGTCACAGTTACAGGTTACAGCCGGCCTCCCCACTGCCCGCTCCTTCTCCCTACACTGGTCCTACTGGAGGTCTTGCTGAGCGTCGTGAGCCTGCGTCGCGTCCTGCGTCGCCTGTCCGTACTGCTCGCGCTAGTGGTCGTGGTTCGCTGTCAGCGTCCTCCTCCTGTCCCTGGCACGCACCGGATGTCTCTGCGTCCGTCCACTGCTCCTCTGCGTGCCCCTTTGCCTTCTCCTCATGAGTCCTCTCTTCCTGCTCTTCCCGACCCAGAGTCGGACTCTCTTCGTGCTGCCAGTCCTACTGTCACGCGTCTCCTTGCTACTGTCGTCACTGACCCTTCCTTTGCGTCCACTGCTGCGTCTGCCCTAGTTGCTGAGCTCGTCGACTTTGCTGCTCGCTGTCGTCTAGACTACGCTGCTTGTCTTGTCGTTGAGTCTGAGGCTGTCTGTCCTCCGTCCGTCGGGGATGAGTGTGCCCTTGGCACGGACGTCCTTGAGGACAGGCAGGAGGAGTTCCAGTGTTTGGCTGCTGCTTCACCTCATCTCGTGTCCGTACTGCTTACCCCTGAGGGAGACCCGGATGCACTTGACATCCCGACTCCGCGCTCTTACGCGGAGGCGATAGAGGGTCCCTACTCCTCTCAGTGGCAGGCAGCTATGGACGCAGAGATGGCTTCCTGGAAGTCCACAGGCACCTACGTTGACGAGGTTCCCCCGCCTGGGGCGAACATCGTCAGTGGCATGTGGATTTTCAGGGTGAAGCGGCCGCCGGGTTCTCCGCCTGTCTTCAAGGCGCGTTACGTGGCTCGTGGCTTCAGTCAGCGGCAGGGAGTTGACTACTTTCAGACCTTCTCTCCCACCCCGAAGATGACCACTCTTCGGGTACTGCTGCACATAGCTGCTCACCGCGACTACGAGCTGCACTCTCTTGACTTCAGCACTGCTTTCTTGCAGGGCAGCCTGCACGAGGAGATCTGGCTGCGTCGCCCACCTGGCTTCACTGGGTCTTTTCCTCCTGGCACCCAGTGGAGCCTCCGGCGGCCAGTCTACGGTCTCCGCCAGGCACCGCGTGAGTGGCACGACACACTGAGGACTACACTTGCGGCTCTTGGGTTTGCTCCCTCTACTGCCGACCCGTCGCTGTTTCTGCGCACCGACACTTCTTTGCCGCCGTTTCTACATCCTCGTGTACGTCGACGACTTGGTCTTTGCCACAGCTGACACTGCTGGACTCGCCCACGTGAAGTCCGAGCTGCAGAAGAGACACACGTGCACAGACCTGGGTGAACTGCGCAGCTACCTTGGCTTGCAGATCACCCGGGACAGAGCACGCCGCACCATTACCCTGACTCAGTCACACATGGTGCAGCAGGTCCTTCAGCGCTTCGGCTTCACGTACTCCTCGCCTCAGGCCACTCCTCTGCCTACTCGCCACTCGCTCTCAGCTCTGCCTTCGGATGAGTCCGTAGAGTCGAGTGGCCCGTACCCAGAGCTTGTTGGCTGCCTCATGTACCTGATGACCTGCACACGACCTGACCTCGCATACCCTCTTAGCATTCTCGCACGCTATGTTGCTCCTGGGAGACACAGACCGGAGCACATGGCTGCAGCGAAGAGGGTGTTGCGTTACTTGTGCAGTACGTCGGGCATGGGGCTTATGCTTGGAGGGCAGAGTCCAGTGGTCCTCACTGGGCACGCAGACGCTTCCTCGCGGTCCCGGGGTGCCCCGTCCCCATTCGTACCTACCCCATCGCAAGTCGCGCTCCTATGCATCACCCGCCGAAGGACCCACCAGCCTGCGAGCCAACGGATCCGCCTTCGAACCAGCCGCCATCCGCCAACGACCAGCACCAGCAGCGACATCCGCGCCGACCAGCACCAACCGCGACAGTGATGCAAACCAGCGCCAACCGCGACAGATGCGCCAGCAGCACCTGCAGTCCTTGCCACCGTCCCTGTCGCATCACATCGCCTCCCCTTTTCCCATCGTGGCCCCTTCTCGTCACCCGCTGTTGCGGCTGTTGTCGTGTGTAGCGACAGCCGCTGTGGGGGAGGAGCGGGACGGGGGAAGGGTGTGGCGGGAACGCCAGCAGTGACAACGCCAGCGACACCCGCGACCGCCAGTAACAGCACCAGAAGCACTCCGCCGCACCTCCTCTTCCCCGCCGCCCCACCTGCTATCTGCCGCCCCAACCTCCCCCGTTGCCTTCCCCTCTGCGACTACGACTGTGGGGGGGGAGGTGGTGTGGAAATGGTGGCCGCCGTGAGCCAATGCAGCACCACCCTCTGCCCTGTCTCTCCCCTCCCGCGGCTGCTGCTGTGGGGGGGGGGGGAGTGGCGGGGACCAGGGAGGTGGGGAGACTAGCTGCCCGTGTTCAGGACATTGCAGGGACTACTGTGGGTGGGGCAGGGGTGTGGAGGAAAGAAGGGGGGAGGGGGTGCGGTTCCAGGGGGCGGCTAAAATAGGGGGTGAGGTTAAGCGGGGTGGTTGAATGGGTGTAAGGATCTGGGGGCTAGTAAGAGGGGTTTTGACGTGCTTGGCTGCCCCCCCACCTCCTCTACTCATCACTCTCTCACCTCCCCCTTTGTAAAAGGGGGTTAGTAAGAGGGTTTCGCCATGGGTGGCTCCCCCTTACCTCCTCTCCTCATGCCTCTCTCTTGTCAGAATATTATAGCTCATGCATATTGTGTAGGCTATAGTGGGGTAGCCCATAAGGGGTACAACCCAATTAGGGTTAGTACTTGTACCCAATTCATTCATAGTTCATTCATTCCTTGTTTCTTCTCATGGTATCGAGCAAGTTCCCTCGTGGGAACTGTTCCTAGGGCCCACCGTTTTTTTTTCCTGCCCGGAGCGCACTCAGCCCCTGCCCGAGTCGCGCTCCCCTCTCTCGCACCGCCCTAGCGGCCCCTTCGCGCCGCCCCTCGCGGCCCCTTCGAGCCGCCCTCGCGGCTCTGTCGCCCTACCCTAGCGACCCCCGCGGCCCCACCCTCGCGGCGCCGGCCGCCCTCCCTTCGCGGCCCCCTACTCCGCCGCCCCTCGCGGCCCCGATCCGCCGCCCTCGCGGCCCCGCTCCGCCGCCCTCGAGGCCCCGATCCGCCGCCCTTCGCGGCCCCTACTCCGCCGCCCTCGCGGCCCCTACTCCGCCGCCCTCGCGGCCCCGATCCGCCGCCCTTCGCGGCCCCGATCCGCCGCCCTCGCGGCCCCTACTCCGCCGCCCTCGCGGCCCCGATCCGCCGCCCTCGCGGCCCCGATCCGCCGCCCTCGCGGCCCCTACTCCGCCGCCCTCGCGGCCCCTACTCCGCCGCCCTCGCGGCCCCGATCCGCCGCCCTCGCGGCCCCGATCCGCCGCCCTAGCGGCCCCGGCCCCTGCTCCTACGGCCCCGGCGCCTGCTCCTACGGCCCCCACGCCTACTCCTACGAGCAGCCCAGCCGCCGAGCCGCCCAGCAACCGAGCAGCCCAGCCGCTGAGCCGCCGAGCCGCCCAGCCACCGAGCCGCCCAGCCGCCGAGCCGCCCAGCAGCCGAGCCGCCCAGCAAGCCGAGCCGCCCAGCCGCCGATACGCCCAGCAGCCGAGCCGCCCAGCAGCCGAGCCGCCCAGCCGCCGAGCCGCCCAGCAGCCGAGCCGCCCAGCAGCCGAGCAGCCGAGCCGCCCAGCAGCCGAGCCGCCCAGCCGTCGAGTCGCCGAGCCGCCCTGCAGCCGAGCCGCCCGAGCCGCCCCTGTCCGGTAAGAGCAGCGCCTCTCTCACAGCACTGCCCTCACCCTACTGTTTGCACTGCTAGTCTACTGCTGTCATGGCTTCCCCTAGTGTCCTCGCTTTTGACGCTGAGGGTCGGGCCATTGACTTTGAAGTCTGGATAGATGACCTGCAGCTTTTTTTTACAGTGCGATAGGGCAGACGGCCTCTCCCTCTTTGACCTCACTTCTGGTGCCTCTCCTGCCCCCGCTGCTGATGCTGACGCCACTGTTCGCTCATAGTGGGCCACGCGCGATGCTGCTGCACGTCTTGCTGTGCGTCGCCACCTACCTACCTCTGAGCGTGCGCACTTTAGCCAGTACAAGAGTGCTCAGACCTTGTACGACGCTGTAGTTGCACGCTACTCCTCCCCTGCCACTGCTGCACTGAGCCGCCTCATGCTACCGTACCTCTTCCCTGACCTTGCTGCCTTTCCCACAGTCGCTGACCTCATTACGCACCTCCGCACTAGTGACACTCGCTACCGCGCTGCGCTTCCTGCTGAGTTCTGCGCCAAGAACCCCCCCCCCATGTACATCATCCTCTACTACATAGTCACCCGTCTCCCTGACTCCCTTCGCGTAGTCAGGGACCACTTCCTCTCGGTTTGCCCCACCACTCTCACCGTTGACCTCCTCGAGAAGGCCCTCCTAGTAGCAGAAAAGAGCATAGTCGCTATAGGAGCCTCTCGTGGTGACCCTCGCACCCCCATCTTTGAGGGGTGTTCCCCCTCCCCTCTTTTGCCCTCTGTTGCCTCTGTGCTGCGGCCGACCTCGCTGGTTTGGAGTCGGTTGGGGCAGCGTCTACCCCTAGCGGGAGACGTCGCCCTGGCAAGGGCAAGGGGGGCAGGGGCGCTGGAGGAGCTAGCGGGGGCGGTGGAGGCGGCGGTGGAGGCGGTGGAGGAGGTGGGGGTGGCGGTGGGGGTGGTGGCGGGGGTGGAGGTGTAGGTGGCGGCAGTGGAGGCGCAGGCGGCAGCGGCGGGTGGCGGAGGGAGCGGAGGTGGCGGCGGTGGAGGAGGATGGCGGCGGAGGAGGTGGAGCTGGTCGGGTGGCGCTGCGCAGAGGGTCGGCTCCGGTGGTGGTCAGCGCCAGCAGCAGCAGCAAGCAGCAGCAGCAGCAGCGCACTCGTGACGTCCCCTCCCCTTAGCAGCTCCGTGAGTGGTACACTGCACGCCAGAGGGGTGGGGGTACTGGTCCGTGCACCTACGTCCTGCGCACCGGCGACCGCGCGGGTGAGCAGTGCGGGGGTGCGCACTCCACCCAGCGCTGCTTTGGCCGCCTGACGGACGCTTGGCGTCACCAGTTCCCTGAGGCCACTGAGCTCCCCCGCTGGGGTGAGCTGTCTAGGGCGGGTGTAGCTGTCTTTGACCTTGACTTTGATGCTATTCTTGCTGCCATGTATACTGTGACTATTAGTGATGAGGTGACTGTTACCGGTGTTTTCCGCCCGACCCGGGCATTGAGACTGCTGCTCTAGGTACTGGTGAGGCTGCTGCTCTAGGTGCTAGCGAGGCTGCTGCTCTAGGTGCGTCTGCTCCCTCAGGTACTGGTGAGTCTGCTCTCTCAGGTTCTGCGTCGGCTTCGGCCTCTCACACCTTCACCCTTGACTCGGGGGCTTCTCGCTCCTTTCGAGACCGCACCACACTCACGCCGCTTGGCCGGCCAGTTGCGGTCTCTCTGGCAGACCCCTCTGGGGGTCCTGTCCTTGCTCACTTCTCCACTGTCCTCCCGTGTCCGGCGGCCCCCTCTGGCACCCTGTCTGGTCTTTACCTCCCCTCGTTCTCTACGAACTTGGTGAGTGGTGCTGACCTACAGGATGCGGGGGTTCACCAGTTCACTCCTGCGAGTCAGCGGGTGACCCACTGCACGGACGCTCGGACAGGCCGACACCTGGCCACGTTTACACGTCGGCCGGGGTCGAGCCTGTACACACTGACCACTGCGTCTCCCCCAGTCCCTGCGTCTGGTCAGGTAGCAGCGTCGGGTCAGGTGTTTGCTGCAGCGTCCAGGTCTGGTCCTGAGTCTGCCCCCTGCTCGTGTCGCCTCCTGTCTCACGAGACTCTCCTCTGGCACCACCGCCTTGGTCACCCCTCCCTGCTTCGTCTCCGGAGCATGGCCTCCCGTGTCCTTGTCTCTGGTCTTCCCCGGTCCCTCCCTCCACTTCCTCCGGGGCCTGGCCCTACCTGCGTCCCCTGTGTCGAGGGACGACAGCGGGCTACCCCTCACTCCTCCCAGTTTCCTCCGACAGATAGGCCCCGCTGCAGACGCTTCACATGGACGTGTGGGGCCCGGCCCGCGTCCGTGGACAGGGTCACGAGCGCTACTTCCTGCTGGTGGTTGACGACTACTCGCGTTACACCACAGTCTTCCCCTTGCGCAGCAAGGGTGATGTCACTGAGGTGTTGATCGACTGGATCCGCGCAGCTCGTCTCCAGCTCAGGCGGAGCTTCGGCTCGGACTTTCCTGTTCTGCGTCTGCACTCTGACAGAGGCGGAGAGTTCTCCTCTGGCCTTCTGCGAGCCTACTGTCGTGCACGAGGCATCCGCCAGACCTTCACGCTTCCGGACTCTCCACAGCAAAATGGGATTGCTGAGCGCCGCATTGGCATGGTCATGGACGTCGCCCGTACGTCCATGATGCATGCGGCTGCCCCCCATTTTCTGTGGCCGTTTGCGGTTCGGTACGCGGCGCATCAGATCAACTTCAGCCCTAGGGTCTCCATGCCGGAGACCTCCCCAGCCTTGCTGTGGACGGGGAAGGTTGGCGATGCGTCTGCGTTCCGTGTCTGGGGATCTCGGGCGTTTGTCCGCGACTTGTCTGCGGACAAGCTGTCCCCTCGTGCTGCTCCTTGCATCTTCCTGGGTTTCCCCCCTGACGCCCCAGGGTGGCAGTTCTACCACCCCACCTCTCGCCGTGTTCTGTCCTCCCAGGACGTCACGTTCGACGAGTCGGTCCCCCTACTACCGCCTCCTTCCCCTACCGCACTCCGTCCCTCCCCCCGCCACCGCTCTTCCTTGTACCAGGTCCCCCCCCGGTAGACCCCCTCCCCCCTCAGGGTCCTGCCCCTTCAGGTGTGTCCCAGGTAGACGCTGTTGAGCCTGTCGAGGTCGCTGGTGACTCTGGTGCTGCTGAGGGTGCTGAGCCTGGGGGTGCTGACTCTGGGGGTGCTGAGCGTGTGGGTGCTGACTTGGGGGTGCTGAGCGTGTGGGTACTACGGCTGGGGGTGCTGAGCCTGGGGGTGCTGCGTCTGGGGGTGCTGAGCCTGGGGGGTGCTACGCCTGGAGGTGCTGAGCCTGGGGGTGCTGCGTCTGGGGGTGCTGAGCCTGGGGGTACTACGCCTGGAGGTGCTGAGCCTGGGGGTGCTACGCCTGGTGGTGCTGTGCCTGGCGGTTTCTCCGGGTGCTCCTTCTCGCCGGGAGCCACTCTCTCCCCAGGAGCTGCGTGAGTGGTTTGCCCGGCGCTGGAGGCGAGCTGCTGGAGCTGGAGGTGCTGCGGGTACTGGAGGTTCTGTTGCTGCTGAGAGAGCTGGTGCCACGGGTCCCGGAGGTGCTCGTACTGGGAGTACTGGAGCTGCTGGACCTGCGGGTACTTCTGGAGCTGGAGTTGCTGCGGGTGTTGGCGCGGAGGCTACTGCTGTCGGTCCTGGAGGCGGTCCTGCTGGGGGTACTACTGGTGCTGCTGGGGTTCTGGAGCTGGAGCTGCTACTGGTGCTGGTGCTGCCACTGGGGGTGCTGGTGCTGTCCCTCCTGTGTCTGGAGTCGCCGCGCGGCCTCGGCGTACTTCGTTCCGCTCCTTCAGCAGGTTCTTGGTCTCCCCGCCTTCTACTGGTCCTCCTCCTCCCTTAGAGTGTCACCAGCCTGTCCCGTCGCAGTTACAGTTACAGCCGGCCTCCCCACTGCCTGCTCCGTCTCCCTACACTGGTCCTACTGGAGGTCTCGCTGAGCGTCGTGAGCCTGCGTCTCGCCCTGCGTCGCCTGTCCGTGCTGCTCGCACTAGTGGTCGCGGTTTGCGTCAGCGTCCTCCTCCTGTCCCTGGCACGCACCGGATGTCTCCTGCGTCCGTCCACTGCTCCTCTGCGTGCCCCTTTGCCTTCTCCTCCTGAGTCTTCTCTTCCTGCTCTTGCCGACCCGGAGTCGGACTCTCTTCGTGCTGCCAGTCCTACTGTCACGCGTCTCCTTGCTACTGTTGTCACTGACCCTTCCTTTGAGTCCACTGCTGCGTCTGCCCTAGTTGCTGAGCTCGTCGACTTTGCTGCTCGCTGTCGCCTAGACTACGTCGCCAGTCTTGTTGCTGAGTCTGAGTCTGTCTGTCCTCCGTCCGTCGGGGGTGAGTGTGCCCTTGGCACGGACGTCCCTGAGGACAGGCAGGAGGAGTTCCAGTGCTTGGCCGCGGCTTCACCTCATCTCGTGTCCGTACTGCTTACCCCTGAGGGAGACCCGGATGCACTTGACATCCCGACTCCGCGCTCTTACGCGGGAGGCGATAGAGGGTCCCTACTCCTCTCAGTGGCAGGCAGCTATGGACGCAGAGATGGCTTCCTGGAAGTCCACAGGCACCTACGTTGACGCTGTTTCCCCCACCTGGGGCGAACATCGTCAGTGGCATGTGGATTTTCAGGGTGAAGCGACCGCCGGGTTTCTCCGCCTGTCTTCAAGGCGCGTTACGTGGCTCGTGGCTTCAGTCAAGCGGCAGGGAGTTGACTACTTTCAGACCTTCTCTCCCACCCCGAAGATGACCACTCTTCGGGTACTGCTGCACGTAGCTGCTCACCGTGACTACGAGGGAGGTTGGCAATGCGTCGGCGGTTTTGGGTCTGGGGTTCGCATGCCCTTGTCCGCGATACCACCGCGGACAAGCTCTCGTGTCACACCGTTCACTATGTCTTCCATGGCTTTCCCACCAACGCAGCTGGTTGGCAGTTTTACCACCCCGCCACGTGTCGCGTCCTGTCCTCTCAGGACGTCACCTTTGACGAATTGGTATGCTATACCGTCTCTTCTCCCACAGCACTTCCCTGGTCACCCCCCCCTCGCCTCTCTTCTTGGTTCCAGGTCCCCCTCCCGGTAGACCCCCCTCCCCCCACAGTGTCTTGCTCCCTCAGGTGTGTCTCAAGTAGACCCATCCCCCTTGGTAGAGCCTTTGGGAGGTCTCCTCTAACACCTCTGGCCCAGCTAAGGGGGGGGTGACCCCGCTGCTGACTCTGGAGGTGCTGGTTCTAGGGGTGCTAAGTCTGGGGGTGCTGGTTCTAAGGCTACTGAGCGTCCTGGTGGTGGTGGAGTTGTGGGTGCTCCTGCTGGAGGTTCTAGGGGTGGACAGCAGTAGCAGTCTCGTTGGCAGGAGACTTTCTTGCCGCAGCAGCTTTGCGAGTGGGTTACGTGTGTTAAAGTTATATTTAATATATCATGCTTGTTGTAGTTACTGTACTTATTTTACTTTTTTTTCTTTGCTATTGGTGTTGCACCTTCGGTTTGGACCATAACTTGTGATGTTTTGTATTATTGAAACACCTTTTCTCCAACTCTCTTTGGCTCGACCACCTCGACACCCGCGCTTGGCCTAGGCTACTAGGCCTAGGTCCTAATCCTGCCTGCTAAGTTAAGATACTATTGTGACATGGTATTGAGCTAGGTCGTTTTTTACCATTTTTTCTTCTCAATGGGCCCACTCTTAGCTACCGCCGTTACTCGCGCTGCCCGTCGCGCGCTTGTCAATACGACCGTCGCGAGAGTCGCAATGGTTGAGACGGCTGCATCGGTCACAATGGCCAGCAATCAACGCTCGCGGTCCCCGGGGTGGCCCCGTCCCCATTCGTACCTACCCCATCGCAAGTCGCGCTCCTATGCATCACCCGCCGAAGGACCCACCAGCCTGCGAGCCAACGGATCCGCCGTCGAACCAGCCGCCAATCCGCCAACGACCCAGCACCAGCAGCGACATCTGCGCCCGACCAGCACCAACCGCGACAGTGATGCCAAACCAGCGCCAACCGCGACAGATGCGCCAGCAGCACCTGCAGTCCTTGCCACCGTCCCTGTCGCATCCACATCGCCTCCCCTTTTCCCATCGTGGCCCCTTCTCGTCACCCGCTGTTGCGGCTGTTGTCGTGTGTAGCGACAGCCGCTGTGGGGGAGGAGCGGGACGGGGGAAGGGTTGTGGGGGAACGCCAGCAGTGACAACGCCAGCGACACCCGCGGACCGCCAGTAACAGCACCAGAAGCACTCCGCGCACCTCCTCTTCCCCGCCGCCCCCACCTGCTATCTGCCGCCCCAACCTCCCCCGTTGCCTTCCCCTCTGCGACTACGACTGTGGGGGGGGAGGTGGTGTGGAAATGGTGGCCGCCGTGAGCCAATGCAGCACCACCCTCTGCCCTGTCTCTCCCCTCCCGCGGCTGCTGCTGTGGGGGGGGGGGGTGAAGTGGCGGGGGACCAGGGAGGTGGGGAGACTAGCTGCCCGTGTTCAGGACATTGCAGGGACTACTGTGGGTGGGGCAGGGGCTGTGGAGGAAAGAAGGGGGGAGGGGGTGCGGTTCCAGGGGGCGGCTAAAATAGGGGGTGAGGTTAAGCGGGGGTGGTTGAATGGGTGTAAGGATCTGCGGGCTAGTAAGAGGGGTTTTGACGGCTGCTTGGCTTGCCCCCCACCTCCTCTACTCATCACTCTCTCACCTCCCCCTTTGTAAAAGGGGGTTAGTAAGAGGGTTTCGCCATGGGTGGCTCCCCCTTACCTCCTCTCCTCATGCCTCTCTCTCACCTCCTCCTTCGTTCTTATCTCCTCTCCTCACCTCTTTCTCTCTTGCCTCCTCCTCGTCACTTATCTCTCTGCCGTCTTCCACGCGCTAGGTTTACCCCTTCAAGAGGTGTTGACTGCACTAGTCCCCACTGCAAGTAGGCTAAAGGGGTGTTGTGTTAAAGTTATAATTAATATATCGTGCTTGCTGTAGTTACTGTAGTTATTGTTCTTTGCTATTGGTGGTGCACCTTTGGTTTGGACTATAAATTGTGATGTTTTCTATTATTGTAACACCTTTTCTCCAACTCTCTTTGGCTCGACCACCTCGGCACCCGCGCTTGGCCTAGGTTACTAAGCCTAGGCCCCCTAAACCTGCCTGCTAAGCTAATATTCTATTTGTGACAATTCGGTGTGGCCGCTCTGGTGCTGGTGCTGGAGGTGCTGGTGCTTGGGGTACTAGAGCTGCTGGTGCTAGAGGTGCTGGAGCTGGTGGTGCTGGGGTACTGGATGTGCTAGTGCTGAAGGTACTGGTACTAGAGGGCTGGAGCTGGCGGTGCTAGAGGTACTGGCTATGCTTGTACTTGAGGTGCTGGTGCTGGAGGTACTGGAGCTGCTGGTGCTGGAGGGGCTGGTGCTGGAGGTGCTGATGCTGAAGGCCATGGAGCTAGAGGTGCCGAAGGTTCTGGTACTGTAGGTACTGCACAACACCGACCGTTCCTCTTGCCTCGTCCGCAGTCGTCGCTGCCACCACCTGACTCGGCACTTCGTCAGGTTCTTAGTCTTCCATCTTCCACTGGTCTTACTCCTCCTCTAATGTGTCCACGTCCGAGGCACGGTTATCGCCTGACTCCCCACTACCTGCTCCTTCTCCTTACACTGAGACGTCTGACTCCCTGATTTGAGCGTCAAGAGCCTGCTTCCCGTCCTACCAACGAATTGGTTTTTTCTATAGCTGCACTGAGACATTGGCCCTTGTGAAGACGGAGCTGCAAAATAGACAGACCTGCGCTGACCTGGGTGAGCTGTGCAGCTATCTTGGATTGCAGGCCACTAGAGACATAGTAGCGTGCACCATCACTTAGACTCAGTCACACATGGTGGAGTAGGTCCTTCAGCGCTTCTGCTTTCAGTTCTTCTCGCCACAGTCCACTCCTTTGTGTACGAGTCACTCGCTCTTAGCTCGACCTTTGGACGAGTCCGTAGAGCCGGATGGTCTGTATTTAGAGCTTATAGGCTGCCTCATGTACCTGATGACGTGCACTCGCTGACCTCGCGTACCCTCTCAACATCTCGGCACGCTACGTTGCGCTCGGGAGACATAGGCCTCAGTACTACCGGGCTGCTACAAGATACTGCGTTACTTGTGCAGTACATCAGGCATGGAGCTCGTACTTGGAGGCAGGACTTAGTTGTGCACACAGGGCACTCAGGCACTTGCTGACGACCAGGCAACACAAGCGGTCATCACAAGGTTAAACTTTCAATCTCGGCTCTGGTTCTGTCTCGTGGAGGTCCCACTCGTTTTGCCTTCTATGCTTGGTTTCCAGCTGTGAGGCCGAGATCTACGCTGGGGCTATGGCTGTAGAGGAATTACTCTGGCTGACCTACTTGCTGACTGACTTGGGTGAGCGGCCTCGTTCTCCTCCGGTTCTATACGTCGACAATAAGGCCATGATTGCCTTGTATCGAGAGCAGAGAATGGAGCACAGAACGAAGCACATAGCTCTTCACTACTTTTCTTGCTCGAGAGTTGCAGGAGCGTGGTCAGCTTCGCCTTGCTTACGTGGCCTCTCGGGCCAACACTGCTAATATCTTCACCAAGGCCCTTGGTTCTGGTGATCATCAGCGCTTCTGCACTGCTCTTGGGCTTGTGCACATTCTGCCTCACTTGCTTGTCTTTTGATCTTGCCTTGCACTTGTTGTACACTGCTATATATGTTGGTGCAACCCTACGGTTTGCACTCGGCTTGTTGTCCGTGTGCGTGATGCGCGTGTGCATGGAATGGTATGAGGGCATGGATATATATTTTATGCTTATAATAGTGTGCGAATGTTGAGTCATGATGTCGAGTGTGTGTGTCGAGTCAAATAGCAAGTTATCGCTAGTCATGTGTCACACGGTCGTTTGTGTCCCGTGCGCGATTTCTATTTTGTCGTGTGTCTCGTGCACGGTTTCTAATTGTCGTGTGTGTTGAACGTTCGGCGTGTCGCAGGTGTGTGCAGCAGACCCAAGAAGAACTCGAGATGAGTTTGTGATGAAGAAACCTGAGCCCTGGTTTCAAGCCTCAAGTGATCGCGAAGCCCGCGAAAAGGGTACACCTCCAGATTTGAAGATAGTTACATTACTTTGTGTAGTGTAAATATTTCACTTGGTGTATGCCCTAGTGAAGGGTAGTTTCGAGACCCTTCGTGGTTGGGGACAGTGTGGCACTTTTCCATATCACTGTACCTCGGCTCTTGGGGTTTGTAGGAGCTGGGAGTCATTCCAACTCGTAACTCTTCCTATTGTGTGTTCTAAGACTATAGTGGCTGCCATAGTGCCGTTCGTTCAAACCGACGCTGTGTCGTCAATACTTGGTGAAATCGTGCGATGTAATTGGCCTATTGTAACGACTTTAAGACGCTCCAGATCCAAGTTGAATCAGGTCTTTAAAGCTGTGACCAGAACGCTATGGACGTTTAAATCCGCTGTGCAGAAATCCAACTGTGCTCTCTATCTTTCGTTTTAGGCACATTGGAGCCTATTGTGACTATAAAAGTGGTATCAGAGCACCTTGGAGCAGCTACGACAATGGCTGGACCTGAAGTAAGGGGGGTCAGAGGTGCTGGGGCAGTGGAGGACCCCAAGCACAAGGTCAACCCCGTGATTCAGCCATGGCGGCCGCGCAACCTACTCTTGGACCTTCAAGGGATGCTTCTTCGAGTTGTTGACGCGGCTTTGAAGGAGTAGATTTGAACTACAGTGAGCTCCAGAAGAAGAAGACCAAGTTGTTGGCCCTACTCCCGGAATAGTGGTCCTCGCTCATCATCAACTTGAACCGTGATCTGCCCCGTCTCTCTTGCTTGAAGACGTGAAGCGAGCGATCCTCCAAGAGGACTTCGCCGCCGTGAGTTGGCGAGTGCGGATGGCGCTGGGGCAGCGAGCGTCGGCCGTGGGATATTGCCAGGAAGAGGCAGAGGACGAGGGGGAGGAAGGTTTGGTGGCAGCAACTTCAGTGGATGCCCGCGGAATGGCGGTTTACGGCAGCGACGACAAGAGCTACGGACGCGGTCGCGGCCGATTCGACGGCGAGTGTCACTATTGTGCCACAAGAGCGGACATATGTGGCGAGATTGCTACAAAACTCCCAGATGGATGGACCCCTGATCAAGGCCAGGAGGGTAGAGGAGCAGGAGGAGGGAGAGGAAGAGGCCGTGGAGGCCGTGGCGGGTCGCGGAGGCGGTGCTGCAAACAAGGACCCGAGCGGAGATGAAAGGCATGGGCAAGGCCATAATCAAGGGTGCTGATGTGGCAGATCCCTATGTCCCAAAGCCTAAGGAGAGGCAACTGGCAGCAAGCGTCAGCACCAAGGGTGAAGCGGTTGGTAGCGGCGATGGCGGGAACGGCGCGTTAAGGAGAATGAGTCCAACAAGTGCAATCTTGAGGGACCAGCAAGCATGTTAACCTAAGGAGAGTGGTGCAGCAGCCAAGGAGCAGCAAAAGGGTGAGGAGAACCCCGAGGTTAGCAGCGGAGGAGGAGTACGGAGAGAGCATGTGGGGCGCTATTGCGAGCGCGGCATTCTCCAACCCGACTTCGGCTACGGGGGAGTGTGATTGGCTCACCTTGCATCGGCAAATGGGGCATGTGGGCCTTGCCTATCTGCAGCAGCTAGTGAAGAATGAGAGGTTGCTGGCATACGTGTGAAGGGGGAGCCTGATGAGGTGCTTGGCTGCCCGACGTGCATTCAAGCCAAGTTCACCCGGTTTCCGTTCCCTAGTTCGGAAGCAACGGCTAAGGAACCACTTGATGAGGTGGTGATGGACGTGGTGGGCCCCTTGAAGCTTGGAGCTGAATATTTTCTCACCATTGTGGATGTCTACACCCGCATGACCTGGGTGTACGTGCTGTCCAAGAAGAGCGACGTGCTGAAAACGGTGAAGACCGATGGTTGCCGATGGTGGAGCGGCACAAGACCGGCTAGTCAAGTCAATCCGCACGATCGAGAGGGAGAGTTCCTTAGCAAGGAGTTCGGATTGTGGCTGAAGAAGAATGGGATTAGGCACTCCCTTACCATGCCATACTCCCCTGCAATGAACGGCATCGCGAGCGAGCGAATCGCACAATCACGGAGACGGTACGCGGGTTGCTCATTGAAGCCGGGCTACCCGACTATTTCTGGCTGATGCGGTGCGGAGTGCGCGTGTGGCCAAGAACAGAGCCTTGACTCATGTGGGAGCAGACAAATGGGTGCCCTATGTGGAGTGGATTGGAAGGAAGCCAAAGGTGGATATGCTTCGGGTGTTCGGGTGCATGTGCATGGCGCTCGTGCCTAAGCATCTTCGGCACAAGGTTGGTGCCAAGGCGATATGGGCCGTGCACTTGGGCATGGCTCAAAACAGCAAGGGTGGCTTCTTTGGGACCCATTCACCAAGAAGTTCTTTGGTGAGCAGGGACTGCAAGTTCATGGAGAACCTGATGTACAAGGATTGGAAGGCGGAGAAATGAGGCGAAGATAGGCGTGCGGTTTGGAGAGGTGAAGAGTTCCGGCTTGGAGCATGTGGAGCTGCCTTTGGAGCTGAGCAGCGGCAGCACAACCACAAGGCAATCCTCCCTTGTGAATGGGGGAGAGGAGGCCAAGGATGCAGAGGAAGAAGAGGAGGAGGTGCCGCAAGTGAGCGAGCGTGCACCGACACTTCCCTCTCGCACCACGAGTGCTCCACGGAT